TGCCTGGTTGTACGTCTTCTGGCACGATTTAAGAATCACTTCAGAGGCTTTAATGAATGGCTAGGAGCAACACAGCTTTATTGGTGGTGTTAAGAGTTGGGCGTGCACAGCCCCATTTGCTATCAGCGGGGTACGTTCAGTCTATTTGAGACTCGTTCTGCTACTTAAGCAATGTGGCTTTTCCATATTAGCTTTGTGACAAACGTCAGTCCAAGATAAATGAACTCTTTGCTTTTTTACGAGGGAAGTGTCCTTGTACCTTAAATGTTGGCCGGTGAAAATGTTTGGAATGTGGATTTCGAGGTGTTGATAACCATCCCATTGTTGTCTCACCAGTTTGCTAATAGTTTAAGTGCGTAATTTAGGGCACTTTCCGTTCTCTCCTGAGCGGTTTTCATAGGGACGGAATATCATAGAACAAGATGCCAGTGACTGTCTGCACCAGTTCGGCTATGTCATTGATGAAGACATTGAAAGAGTACAGCTTGTGACAGCCCCGTGTGGAAGACCTGTTTGTAAAAGATTGGATTCGGACAGAGCGCTACCATATCTGACTTTACATGATCTTTGTCTAATGAATGTTTTTATCCAGCTTAGCCTGTTGTGAATTATACCAATATGCGAAAATTTTAGAATTAACTTCTCTTTCCACTCTGAGTCATATGCTGATTTGAAATCGACGAAAACAGCCGTAAGAGTATTTCGTGCATCAAGGGCATCTTTGATGTGTTGGGAGAAAGTGGCTACTTGTTGGTTCGTTGGTCTTTGTGGCAAAAAAACCTGCTTGTTTGTTTCTAAGAATATTGTTGGTCTCGAGGAACCAAGTCAGCCTCCTGTTAACCATTCTTTCCATAAGTTTAGCCAGCGCGTTTTTGAGGGAGATAGGTCTAAAGTTGCCAAAGATGCTAGGTTCTTTGCTCTTTTTTAGTACTGGTATTACTATGGCAACTTTCCATTGGTTTGGAACGAGACTGGTCTCCCAGATTTTATTGAAAAGCGTCAGCATGGTTTCCTTGGCTTTTGGCTCATTCTAATTAGAAATTCCGGATGAATACC